AAGTATGTGAGTTCCCATCCAATTTGGAAGATGACGGACATCAATGTTGATGATGTCCATCCGTTGGAGACTTGAAAGCATGTGAGAAATGCTATTGGAAGATACAAGGAATCGACAAGTAGAAAGAGGCTTTGAAATCATTGATATATTCATCGGATCTAAATTCTTTACTTTGATACATTTGGAAGTTCAAGATATTGGGATACAATATCATTGGCTTCATCTTGGATTGATTGGAGTATCTTACAGTTATTTGACAGGTTGTTACTTTGCATCATTATTCATGCAGATCTACTCCACAAGCAGTAGCAATTGAAGTCAATCATTCTATCGGCTTATAGAAGATGTTCTCAAATATCAAAACAAAGTTGAATTTTTTCTTGTTGGAAACTTTAATGCTTACATATGTTATATTCAATTTACACAATCTAGTTTATACTTGTCTTTTACCTCTTTTGAAAAAAATGAAGATAGTTTGTGGTCTAAAATTCCTTATGATACCTTTGCAAATGATTTGACATAATATTTTTTGAAGTTTGAAGCCACATGTAATCTGAAACTTCTCAATGGTGTTTTTTTTCCCCAACTTTCATTCCAATATATGTTTTTTCTCTACCAACGTTAGCACTATTGATTATTTTTTATTCTTTGTTATTAATAGTTCTTTTATCTCAACATTTGATATTCTAGAGCCTCAATTAGATTCAAATTATAGAATTTTTTTACTAACTCTTTTGTTATCAAAGTCAATTCCACTCTTTACATGTCATTATGTTTCTACTTACTCAAGTTTTTTTTAGATCCTAGTAAGAAGCAACTTTATGGTCAACATTTATAAGACCTCTTTACTCTTACTTCTTGGAACCTTGATCCACATACATCTAATTTGCAACTAACCAAGTTGCTCAAAAACTCTGCTTCTAAGTTCTTTTTTAGATGTAAGAAGTGAAGAGCTAGGAGTCTTTTTTGCAATGAATGATTTGACTTTGATTGCAAGCAAGCAAGTACAAGATCAATTGATAAATTTTTGGATTTTCACAATCTACTTATTATAACAAGACTTTACAAAGACTTGATAAAATCTAAGAAACGAGCTTTTTTGAAACGTAAGCAAGGGTGTTTGACAAAGGAGCTGTTGGAGAATCCCATATCTTCTTGGAGTCGGTTGGCAATATAATCTTTCAAACCAAGTCTTTAGTTTCTTTTGCTGAAATTTTTTTTTTTCCAATACTGCATCAATGGCATGTTGTAAAGTGAAAACTGGCTGATTTTCTGAAGCTGAAATGTGGACTCAACTTAAAAAAATGGCAAACGTTAAATGTGATAAATTAAACTATTGAACTATTAAACCCTATTGAACTTCTCAAGTGGGAAGAAGATGCTATTGGACATATTCTCACTAAATGTTAGAGAATGATGCTATCTATAGTTTTCTTCAACTTGATTTCTACGGAAAATTGTTCCTATTAACAAATCTAGGAGCAAGTACTTCGTGACAAACTATTGGACTATCATGATGGGTAGTATTTTTGCTAAGTTATTTGGCAAATTGATGGAGTCAAAGTTGAACACATGGGCCAAATTTTATCAGAAGAGATCACGGTTCCAAGCTGAGTTTTGTTCTACATTGAGCACTATAGATCATACCTTTGTTTTGTGTATTTTATGGGAGAAGTTGAAGTACAATGAAAAAGCTTTGTTTTGTGACTTCATCGATTTCAAAAATGCTTTTGACATAGTATCTCGTGAGCTTTTATGGGAAAAATTGCAAATCTTGGTATAACATTGGATCTCTTAGTACTTGTGGCCACATTTTAGCATTATGTTCGGGCCAAGATCAACACTTCTCAAACTGAAGAGATTTTGAGTACCATTGGAGTCATTCAAGGTTGTACTCTCTCTCTTGTTCTATTTGAAGTTTTCATAGATGATATAAAAAGATGGTTAGAGGATTGTGAAACTGAAGGTGTCAAACTTGGAGTCTTTGTCATCAAATCTTTTTTGTATGTAGATGATGTCATATCACTAGCACGTGATGCCATTAGTTTACAAGAACACCTTGACACTTTGGCTAGCTTTTGTACTCAAAATCATATGGGAGGTCAATTTGGAGAAGTCAAAAGTCATTCTTGTGGGACTAGATTCAAGTTTTTTTTTATTTTACAAAGGATTAGAACTGGAACAAATCAATAGTTACAAATATTTAGTATTTGATTTCTACCGCGATCATAGTTGGACATTTTGTGTGCAAAAGAGAGTAGAATATGGATTCAAATATCTATATTCATTGCTAAATAGATGTAAAGTAGCTCATCTAGTGTCTTGGAGTCTTAGTGAATTCTTATTCTAAAGCTTAGTGTTTCTGGTTATCTTATATGGAACACAAGTATGGGGTCGTGATTGTAAGAAGACAAGTTGGCAACTTGTATTCTTTTGGAGTTGATCAAACGTTTGGAGAGGATGCAAAGATCTTCTTACATTAAGAGGAATTGAATGTGAAAACCTAAACTTCATATGATATTCTTCTTGCAAAAACAAGTTGTCTAACTCTTAAGGCTGAAGTTCTTTTCTTGATTATCATTTATATCTGAAGAGTGAGATCTCTTGCTACTTCTCGACTTACTCTTCAAGCTTTGCGTGCCACACATTCCAAGGAACAATTTACATATGTGATGATTTGGTCTTTGAGGTGGAATGTGATGGAACGCAATTGTAATTTGCAATCTATGAACCTTCGTAATCACATTAAGGAGTAATTTCTCAGCATTATTTGGAGCAGATGATTCATTAAAATAGAGTATTATCAACTTCATATGAATCCTATACTTGTTTATTATGAGCAAGTATATCTATTTGCAAATATATCTACATCTTTACATCAACAATCTCATAGTCTTGGAGTTGAGAAAGTGCGTTGGTTGAACATTGATAGTAATAAACGTATTTATAGGATGGGAGGAAAGTTGAGGATGAAGTGCATGTGTTTGTTACTTGTACTAGATATATAGAGACTCATGAAGTTGTTGTAGAAATTTTTTATTTTTAAATCCAGTTTGAGTAAATTATAAAGCTCAAACTTTATAATTTAGGTTGTTTTATGAGTTATGTTATTAGTTTTTTCTAATGCTCTAGTCACTAACTAGAGTGTTTTTTGGGTTCTCTTCTTTTGGCTTGGATTGTTGGTAATTTACTTTTTAACCTTTGGGTACCGCAGACTTGATTATTTACACTATCGTATTGTCTATGATAATTGCAAACAATGAGATCTTGATGATTTTAGTTTATTATAAAGAAAATATTTCATCATAATGTAATCACATGAAATACTCAAATTAGATTGTTTTTAGTGTTTACCACGTGCATTTGTAACGCGTATTATTAACAACAAGCAAAGTAGCACAAGCCTTCCGTATCATTCCATGGCAGAGAAATATTCTACCCCTGGACTACCGACGCTGTTGCCCCGGCTGAAGTCTTATCTGAACCCTAACGTTAAGAGTACAGAGTCATGTCTTCCATGCAACGTACGGAGATATATGATACTCAGACCCATGTTTTCCATCAACCAGCATTCACAATATCGCACAAGGCATCTTTGAAATCTTATCTTCAAAGGTTCCGGCAGTCTCATAGATAGATGCAATGAAACGTACAAACGTCCCTCTTCTTTACTGCCTCATTTCCATACACAACAACTGTCACACAATAATCTCGCATCACAGGTTGAGTGCATCAGTAGCAGCTTTAGATTGTAAAAGAATGACGTGACATGGTAGCAACTCTCGCAACTCCGGCTGTGACCGAAAGGATGGAACACGGAGGCTCGAACTCGACCTGATTCTTATCTCGAGTAAGATGCTCTTAACCCAGCGAGGTTTGCTACGAAGCAAGGCGTGCGGCTGCTATCGATGTCAAATGTCAATTTAGGCGACGAACGGCCTCTGCTTTGATAAGAAGAGCCACTTGATCTGGTCACATGGTTTCCATACAGAATGCTTGAATACAAAAGGAAGCACGAGTCAGAGGTGGACGGAACACGATACGGGTGAGCGGTGGCAGCGCCGTTCCTGACAGCTGATGTCGATTACTCTTCGTATGACTAGTACGCCAAAATTCATTGTAGCCGACCTAGCTGAAGTGATAAGGTCGACTTTCTCAGTTCCATGCTCGTCGGTCTCCTTCTGTGTAGACGAGAATCTATTAGGAGGGACGTTTGTAGCCGACGGAACAGTTGTTGATGACCAGTTTATCTAGGACTTCGTTCGGCACGAATGATCTTCAGACAACGTCGATGAATATATATCTCACTGCTTGTGAAGGATGCGGAGTATTGATCATTCGTCACTTATGAAAACTGCAGGATTAGCTCAAGTTCACATTTCGTCACAACATAGTTTAGTTCCTTGTACCGTAAGTCACTGAGAATTGTCCGTGCAAACTTCGATAGCTGCGGATGGTGTCTGAATTTTATGTTTCTCTGAACTCGTCGTGCAAGGAGCAGGTCCAGATGGTTCACACGATGAGCAAAACCGGCAAACATTATCGGTGAATGTATAATGCTTCGAACATTCTGTCTTGCCAAACAAGTTTCTCGATATGCTTCATGCCATGTGACAAATTGCTTGAAATACACCACTTTTCAGACTGTTGCCAATGTACAAGTTCTCGATCTAAGTGCTCAAACTTCAAGAGGAAACGCAACCTGTCGTGTGTTTTATGCTTTGCCAGTTGTATCTGTGAGGAGTAATTTGGATACCGGTCTGTATCATTGTCCAGACCGGTCTGGACGGCCTCCACAAACTAATGGAGGAAGGGTGGGGCGTCAAAAGCTTGTTTATTACAAGATATGTTCAATCCATAGCAATCTGACGACGTATCAGGCAGTTCCTTTATTTCATCTCACCAGCGATGGACTTCGATACTGCAGTATGATTTTCCATTCACTATAATAAGGAGAAACTGATGAACGGTGATTTTTGTCACTCGACCACGCTTGATCTGCCGGAGGCTGAGGTACATGAGAGCGAAACTCGGAAAGAGCATAACTCTACTTGTCATTGCATCATACGTCTTTCACTATATTAGTGAAGGATACTACTTCCAGATGCTCAGACAGCTTATAAATCCCGTTGACATGTGCAGAGAGTGGCTTTGAGAACATAAACGCTAAGAACTCCCTTTAAAAATTTGTTGGGGTCGTTGACAAGGATGACAGCACTACAACATACTCTTATCCTATTTCTTGGAACGAAGATGTTCACAGAAACCAAAGCTGGCACAGAGCGCTTGTCACATATGAGAGAAGGCTAAAAGCTTTGAGGGTATTAACAAATCAACACAATGCTCCTCCCCTAATGCACGTGCACGAGCTTAAGCAGCCCTCTCACAGCATTCTTGCAAGCCTATTGGAAGCCGACGCCTTAGCTTGACGGCGCCTCCACGGACTGGCGATTCAGTAAATCTACGCTGATTTTAAGCGTGTGACAGGAACAAGATCATCGTACAAATTAAAAATGAGTTCTTTACAGCTGGAAAATCCACAGCAGACTGTGAAGTCAATAATCTCGTGCTACTATTCGACTAGTCGCCGGCGTGAAAACGAAGCGGAATGCAACATACTTAGCACCTCGTTACCTCACGACCAAAAATCAAATTTCCCCATTCGAGAATGACAACTCTTACATCTCCATTATGAGCCTACGACTGATGAGCGAGCGAGCAGTCCCCAGTTGGTTAAAAAATTTATGCTGGAAGTTCCAGCTGGGATTACTAACATATACAATTGTTTAACACTATGATTCTACCCAAACAAGCTTCTCAGGCCAAAAATTGAGAAAGCCAATGTTTCTAGGAATTAGCAGGGACTGCCTCCAGCAACCTGGAGAAGTAAAACTTGGTGGCGGTCATGTCTCGTTTCGTCACTTTCCACCCTGCCTCGTTCAGGGCTTTCTCCACATCCTCTTCGGCGTGCAGATAGGCACGAGTGGCCTTGGAAGGGCCGGGGAATAACTCTCCAATTCTCTTCAAAACGGAGTAGTATGGAGTTTTTGGAGCAAAGCTCAACACGAGTCTCTTGTCAGCTCGGGATGCGAGGTGAGCAATCATGCCACCGGCCTTCTCTTGGGGGTAGTGAATTAATACATCGAGGCACACGACAGTGTGGTACTTTCCTGTGATGGACTCCAAGTCCTGAGCCTGGAAATCGGGTTTGGTGAGCTGAGGGTTCTTGTCCAAAACCACGGCCGCTCTCCTGCCCGCCTCCTCCACCATGGACGACGAGATGTCGCTGGCGCTCACGACGGCTCCCTCCTCACACAGAGGAATGGTCAGACTGCCGGTTCCACAGCCGGCATCGCACACGGTGACGCCTTTCAAGCCATCGCCGCCTTTCAAAAAGGCCAGAGTTTTCTCCACGGTTTGGGCGTGACCCACGCGAATGTCCAGCTGCACGGAGTTCACGTCGTCCGTCTCGCCGTAGATTTTCCTCCACCGCTCAAAACCCTGCGTGTTGAAGTAGTTCCGGACGGAGTCCATCTCGTTGCCTCCTGCGGCCTGCGCATCCTTCTCCCTCCTCTTCTGCGGGTCCGCCAGGGCGATCGCCAGAGCGGCGATTGCCCCTCCGCTCGCCACAGCGAATCCCAAATTCCCATCCTCCACGAAGGGCAACGACACAGCTCGCACCGACAATCCTCCTCCCCTCTTCGTCACAGCGACCCTGCGGCTCACATTCTGCTGCTGCGGCAATTGAGCTCCTCCCAACGCCCTGCTACTGCCCAGCGCTCCGCACTGACAGCCCAACGAGCTCGCCACCGAGCTCGCCATGTCCACTTCCTTTCAGACGGACCCGGGTGGTGGACTGGGCTGTCCTGGCCTGTGAACAAATGGGGCGGATTGGACTGGACTCCGAATCCAATTTTACAATCAAACGCGAATGTGATCGAGAGAATGGAGCACTTCGAGCTCCATTCCTTTCGTGGGGATTGTCCATGGGCTCGTTCTTCGCCTCTCTCTTGCTGGTGGTCGAGCCACTAGGGATGCCACGTGGCCGACACGTCAATCATTTTTGAACTCCGATATCCAATATGGGCCAATAGGCCCAGCGCGGCCCGGCCCGACTCCTTCGACTGAACTGTACTTTTTATCCTGGACGGAATGCTGGTTCGACGCCGTGGACATTGACGGATGAAGAAAGGAAGCGTTCGTTTTGATGACGTGTCGTTCAGCCAGAGTTTTTGGTGGTAAGAAATGCAGGATACCGACGAAGGTTGCGGGTCGTTGCCATCGGCGGTGACTACAAGTGACCTATGTCGGAAGGAGTGGAGTCTAGGACTGCTTTATTTCAGCATTGACACCCCTCTTGATGTTATGTGATGGAGGGTCCGCGGTAATCAGTCATTCTATCCGACCTGGAAAATTATCGCAGAGTCGATCGGAAGGACACTGTATGACCACCTCTTGCAGTTGGAGGTCGCATTGCAAATCAGATTCCGTGGTGTTCCAGAGTTTGAACGGACTCTGGATTGTCAGTGTAATAATATATATGGAGAGATATTACTTTAACAAAAGTTTAATCTACAAATATTAGAACATTGATATAACTCTAAGGTAATTGATATCAAACCGTGACATAGGTTCATCAGAAATCAACACAATGACATTTTTTGTGTAAATGAGGTTGAGATCATTCACACAAACAACAACAATAAACTTTTCTTAAAGGTATGCTTGGTAAAGATGCAAAAGAAATCATTATTTCCTAAACCCTCCTTTACACAAAAAGTCTTAACAAGCTCTAACTACATAATTGATGCCATAAATGGTTGTTTAGAAACTTAACTCAGTACACTACCTATAAGAAAAAAAATAGAAACTATCCACATCTATATTATGAGAAAACCTAATCTATTTGTATTTAGTACAAGTAACAAATACAAGCTATTCATACTCGATATACCCACCGTCACATAATCTACAAATACATTCAATCCATCAATACTAAACTATCGTACTTACTCAATTCTAAGACTATGAAATCCAATTCTATGCCTAGCAATAGTATGACACAAAGACATCAAGATTCCTGCAAGTAGATATTTATGTTCACAATAAACAAGTGTATGATTCACATGAAGTTGATAAAATTGCATCTTGATGCCTCGCTTGTTCCAAATAATGTTGAGAAACTCCTCCCGTATACTTTTGCTTAGTGTCATATATTACATGTCCCAATCACTATCCGCCACATTTCACCTCAAAGACCAAATTATCACATTTGAGAAAGAAATTCATTCTCAAACTGAACATAATTATAAAGATGAAAACTATCTAGAATGTTTACCATCATCTTCAAATAGATATTTCAAACAAGTAGAAGAAAGTAGGGTGTGATCCCATCATCCATTCCCTCCTAGTGTATTAATCATATGAAAATTATCAATTAAAACATTTATATTATAACTAATTTACAAACAAGTTGTTGACATGTCATTGTTAATTATCACATATCTCATCCACTTATCAAATATACGGATTGCTAACATTACACTAATATTCCTTCATAATAATGCAATTTTATTTACATCTTGACTAAAATTTATTTTGGTTTTTACTCACTAAAGTTGCTTACATTTTTTTGATGCAATAAACTTTAAGTTGTATTTAAACATTTGAAATTTGAAAATTTGAAAACATTTACCAATTTTCTCTTTTATTTTGCAAAAAAACATTCATTTATTTTATATATTCAAATCAAAACACTTCATGTAAGATTAATTTGTTCAATTGATTAATTGGTTTTTTTGTGCGGATGTTTTGTTTGCATGTAATCAATCAAACATTTCAACAATTAATATAAAATGTAACTTATTTAAAATAATATTTTTGATCAACCTTTTCTCTATATGATCTCACAATATCATTTCACATCATATAAATGATACTGATATTTTTTTCATTTTTATCCATATTATTGTATTAAGAATTGTAGTAAAGAATTTACAATTTCACATTTTAAAAGAATCTTCTTGACTGCTAAAGGTATTACTCAACAATCAAATAAAATATCCACTTTTTCTTGAACAAATTTTCTTTTTCATATATTCTCTTACATGAAACATGCTCTCATGGTTCTGCAACATTGGTTTATATCTTGATTGATGGATCATGTTGTTTTGATTGAGATTTTTGATAGATTGCAAGCTTTGTGTGATGTAGTTTTGGTTCATCATCATATCATTTCAAGACATCATCCATGGCTTATGTAGATAATATTGTGAAACGTCTAATTTGGATCATGAACAAAGGACATAAAAAGATTGAACCGGAGATTGTTCATCATGAAGAATAATTGATAACTTTCTTAGTTCAAGATTATAATTTCAGATGTCAAACAACTATGATATTTCTCTTTATAAAGTAGATATCAAATCTTAGCTATCGTTGATAATCAGCTCAGAATATGAAGTTCAATAATCGTGATGTTTAGATTATGATGTGTTGCTAAAAGAATATTCAATAGAAATAATTATTATGAAATTTGAAAACCTAACCAGTTCTAAGCATATGATACTTTATTATGAGCTATTATTTTGGAATGTTGGATCATATAGAATGTATTCTGATCTCAAAATTTCATGAATTGGTGAGATTGTACATCTAAAAACATATATTGTGATAATATGATTTGGAAAAAACATAAATGTGATTTTGCACTATATTATCTTCCAAACAATCGTGGTGGCATAAATTCAAGTTTGTCTTGAGATATGTATTGTGTGTATTACCTAGTGGAGTGGAGAGGTAAATGGATTGATTTGTGTTTAAAGGTAGGATTACTGTCATGTTAACCATCTACTCTAAATGTGCTCTACACTTTATGATAGAATGTCTTCAACCTGATTAGGAGTAATAATTGCATGTGGGATGTGTATGAACTAATTCAGTTTAACATAAATTGGAGACTAGTCCATCCAGATATGTATTGACATGTTTCATTCATTGCAGGTATGAAATGTATGAACCAATTCAGGTTAACATAAACGGGAGACGAGTCCATCAAAATAAGTTTTCTCATATTTTTTCAATTACATCTTCTATCAAAGGTCCAAAACATGTGTAATGCCCAGCCTTTTGCAACCTATACACTTAACTCTGAGACAGAAGACCACACATAAGACGGATTTACTTAAATGTTGTCTAAAACGGGGAATCGTGAGTCCAGGGACCCAATCCCGGTGAAGTTAGTGCATACATCGTTCTCTACATTGTAGCTGTGAATACTCCAAAGAAATCAGGTTTTTCTTATGCACAATAATTTACACTTGTGATAGTAAGAACTCCAGAGAAAGCTTGAGTCTTTTGAAACATGAATTTCTACCATTACTCGGGAATGAATTAGGCAGGACACTTTCCTCGTCACAGACATTAGTAAATATCTTACTGACACCCTAGTCCGACCCGTATCTTGCATCTACTAAATGACGCTTTAATGAAGTTCATACATCTACAACAACTGTTACTTTTCGAGCGATACACGGATACAGTGTGAATAGGCGTGCAAAAAATCTAGTAACGATTTCAAAAGTTTGTAGTCCTTGTGTTTAAGGCTGAATCCTAAAACTTAGAGCAAACAATCCGGAGTGGACACATGAACGTGTTCTTGTGATGTAAAAGGCACTACGTGCTTAACATACTACTGGTGTGTGCCAGATAATGTACAAGCTCAACTCAAAAATCTAAACTCAAAACGTAGTGACTAGGCATCGTCAGCCGCAATAATATATGTAACGGAAACAGACATCTGAGAACTTGAACTGCTTCTGGTAAATTCCTATCACAAACTTTGGGAGCCCTCCTGGCAATTACCTTGCTGTAGGTAGTAGTCACCTTCAGCCATTGCTTAGACAACGTACTTCAGCGAAACAGGATATCTGACTTTACACTAGAATTATGATGAAAATGTACAAGATGATTCAAGTCATCATCAATCCTACTTGATAAATAGTGCCTAAAGCCCAAAATTGCCAAAATATTGACAGCAGCGCCTTCGGCACTCTGCTGACTGTTGCGGTTTCAAGCTCCTATCTTCAGTTCAACCCGACGCCAGGCAGACTAAGCCGGACTCTGTGCGTGCAGTACGCACAATGGGTTGTAAAATAAAGCGATCGAAAAACCTATCATCGACGTTTGGAAAACTTGAAGAATGCCAGAATGCCTACAACAGCAAGGGCACTCGTGGATACAGCAGGCCACGCATACTTTGCTGCCTTGGTTGATCTCTGTGCCAAGATCATATTGACTGACTCTAGATCTGAAAGTAACTGAGCAACCTTTCCCTCACTCAAATGAGCAACAGATTTTGCCTCATCCAAGGTCTTCTCCACAGACCTAGCCCTTTCTTTCCAAACAAGCAACTGCTCTTCAAGCTTGTCTAAAGCCTCAACAGAGGTTGAGGACACCTTCTCCAGCTCTTTTTCTATGGAAGCCTTGGCCTGCAATAGGCTTGCCTTTTCGCTTACTAAATCTGCAACTTCAGACTCCAACTTAAAGATACTTCCATGAGCTTTTCTGATAGACTCCTGGAGATCCTCAATGCATGACCTTGCGGTTCCCAATTCACCCTCGAGAGATACTCTTCTCCTCTGCATCTCTAGGACTTCCTCCCCCAACGAAGCTGAAGTTTCGCTCTCCGTTTGCAAGTCACGTGTTACCTCCTCGGCTTTCGTCCTCGCTCCATTGAGCTCAACTTGCAAGCCGGCGACAGTACTTTCAAGGGAAGCCAGTTTAGAGTTAAGGTCACTATTATCCCCTTGCAAACCGGATACCACACTTCCCAAGCTTTCAAGTTTCGCATTCAACTCCGAGTTCTCGTGGTCAAGTTTCGCAGAGCGCTCGGATGCACTACTCAAAGCTTCCTCCAACTTGGAGTTCTCTCCTTTGAGAGTGTTCCTTTCCGTTTGCAAACTAGCAACTTTATTCTCCAGGGTGACCATGTTACCCTGGGCGCTGCTGATAGCCTCATGCAGCTCTTGAATAAAATGCTTCGCCTCAAATAACTCCTTCTCGATGAGCTCTTTCTTTTCCTGCATTGCAGAGATTTCCTCTTGCAAAGCTTCATTGGCATCCTTCCCCTTTCGGACTTCTTGTGATGCTTCATTAGCCTTCTCTTCGGCAGCTTCCAAATCCTCTCGCAACCCTGTAAGTGTGGATTCCAGAACCCCAAGCTTCGCGCTCAATTCGCTGTTTCGGCGATCTAACTCCTCTAGTTTCAAAGTCAGTTCGCTATTTTGACTCTCCAAATCTGCTGAGTGGTCCACGGCAGCCTGCAATCTGCTCTGCAAATGCAAATTTTCTTGTTTCGAAGCCTCCTGTTGAGATCGCAGGGTTTCTACAGTGCTCTTGGCTTCAACTGCCTCCTCCTGCGCAGATGCAAGAGACTGAGAAAGCTTTTGCAGTTCGGCCTCTAACTCTTCAGTCTTGCGTTGCAAAGAAGACAGCTCGGCTGATTGCTGATTATTCAATTTTTCCAAAGTGGTAATCTTCTTTTGATGGAGATCGTTCAGCTTCTGTATCTCTCCATCCAGATGTTTGATCCTGGCTTTCGCCTGAGCAGCATCGCTCTCGGTCTCCTGGATCCTGGCCTGGGCCTGAGCAGCAGCAAGCTCAGCTTCCTTAATTTTGGATGATTTTTCAGCCAAAAGCTTGCTAGAGTTTGATAGCTGGCGTTCCAGCACCTCCTTCTCACTACTGAGAGATGAGACCTTCGCTTTAGCTTCGGCAGCGTCACGCTCTGCGTCCTTGATCCTGGCAGACGCCTCAGCAGCAGCACGCTCTGCCTTTAGAATCGTCGCTGCTCTCTCTTCGAGAAGCTTGTCCGAACTGGAGAGGGCACTTTCTAGCTCTGCTTTCTCATGCCCGAGAGCTTCTACTCTTGCCTTGGCTTCGGAGGCGACATGCTCTGCCTCAGTAATCTTGGCAGTTGCTTGTTTGGCAGCTCGCTCTGCTTTTTGAATCTTGGCTTCTCTCTCATCAAGAAGCTTGCTCGACTTTGAAAGAGAGCTCTCCAGCTCCTCCTTCTCGCGTAGAAGAGCCTCTACTCTCGCCTTCGCCTCTGAAGCAACGCGTTCTGCCTCTCCAATTTTAGCTGCTCCCTCGTCTACAAGCTTGCTGGAGTGCGAGAGAGCGCTCTCGAGCTCTTCCTTCTCGTGGACAAGAGCTGCCACTCTTGCCTTCGCTTCAGAGGCGACATGCTCTGCCTCCCCAATCTTAGCTGACGCCTCGGCGGCAGCGTGCTCAGCCTCTTCAATCTTAGCTGACCTCTCTTCCAGGAGCTTGCTGGACTGGGAGAGCGCACTTCCAATTTCATTCTTCTCGTTCGTGAGAGCTTGTACTCTCGCCTTGGCCTCCCCTGCGGCACGCTCCGCCTCCTCGATCTTAGCTGATCTCTCGGCCAGAAGTTTGGTGGACTGAGAGAGAGCAGACTCGAGCTCGGTCTTCTCCGAAACGAGAGCTGAAACTCGTGCCTTTGCCTCCTCCGAAATCCTCTCAGCCTCCTTGATTTTGGCTGACGTTTCAGCCAGCCGCCTGTTGGATTCAGAAAGAGCAGACTCCAGCTCGATTTTCTCGTTCGCGAGAGCAGACTTCTCTTCCAACAGGGCGGACTTTTCGGTGGCTAATCCAGAGGTCTCGTTCTCGAGCAGAGCCTTCTCGCTCTCCAGGGCCCGCCTTTTCTCTTGAAGCGCCTTGTTCTCATCTAAGAGACTGATGCGCTGAGTCTCGAGGCTGCTGATAACATCTTGGGCTTCTTTCGAGTGGGCTGCAGTGACAGTGTTCAGCTGCTCCTCCAGATGAGAAATCTTGCCCGTCAGTTCGTCCTTGTCCGTTCTCAGCCCTGCCACGGTTTTGATCAGCACGCTGTTCAGTTCAATCAGACTGTGAATCTTGACTTCCTCAGTCTGCGGCTCTCGACTCACGTGATGGACCTTGCTCTTCTCTTCATGGTGTGCCTCTCCGACGTCGGAATGATCCGACGAGGAAATGTCACCCACGCTGTGGCCATTCGTGCCTGACTCAGTTCCGGATCCATTGAGACTGTCCAGGTCTTCCTTGCCCGCCCCGTTGGCATGCGGGCTATCGAGGGCTCGAGGAGTCCCACTGCCATTGGGACTGTCCGTCGGAGTATCTCCAGAAGGCTCCGCATGATCCCCATTCTTCTCGACGTGCACAGAATTCTTGTGCGATCTCTTGTGATGCTTCTTGTGCTGGGCGCCGGGCATTTTGTCTGGAATCCATGACAGGGCGGAGGAAGAGGAACACTGTCAGCATGAGCATGTGAATGACTCACGAAAGCAAAAAAGAAAATACCTCAACGGCGTGAAGATTAGCACCCCAGATCCCCCCTGCAAAAAGTAGCTAATCTAAGGCACGTGTGCCAGGTACTGTCTTCTTACCTCCTGCAGTGTATCTTTCATCTGATACGCATAACTGCAGGAAGAGTGATGCTTGCGGAGAGTAAACTCCAACATATCTCACGGAAAACGTTCACACGTCGTCGCAACACATCAGCAAGAGAAGGCCAATCGATTGAAATTTCAAATCCGCGGAACATACCAGCAAATTAGAGATCGGGTTAATGAATCGGGATGAATTATTCACTACCTAGAAGACGCTCGGGTGAAATCCGTGTTGTTCAGGACAGTGAGTGAAATTTCTGATTGATATAACAAATTGCAAGTGGTAAGTGAGAAGGGCAATTTTAGAAGCCACTCGGGCCGTTGCAACAGGCCACGAATGGAAGCAGCATCAGCACGTGATGCTCCTACGGCCATTGAAAGTCAATTCGCCGACGTACATCGTGAAATTACAACTTCTTGATCAGTGATCGGATGTTAGCGTTTCAGGGGCTGTGGTCGTGCTGAAGAAACGACTATAACTGCATCAGCCATAGCCGCATGAAGGACAGGCCAAAACAATACCAGTGTAACATGGCCCCATAACTTCTGTCACATCCAACCCCCTACCTGGCTCCCTACGTCGCACGCGCGCGCTAAAACACACACACTCACTCACTCACACAGATGTCCTCATACAAACTAATTCGAGGAAGTTGGCGTACCTGTCGTGAGGACGTCTATCACCTCGCAACGATGGAGTATGACAGTATATCGCTGTTCGAATCATCGACGAAACTATCGGGTAAGAGGGGTTCATCTAGAATCGGATGAGTTTCTCAAATTATAGGCTTCTTTGCACAAACAACAAGTGAAGCTCCAACTTCACCTCGTAGCTTCTTATGAGCACATTGCTTGCCACCCTATCCAATACTGGGACCGACGCATGGAATCTAACAGGAGTGTACACATGCACGAACGAGCGCAAGAGCAGCTGCGTTTCTAACCTGAGTTGTTTGTCTGTCCTGTGTGCTTGATCACCTTCTCCGCCGTCTCCTCCTCGTGGAGTCCGTGGAAATCAAGCAAGCAAGCGAGCGAGGAATCAGAGCTCGCCTCTTCGGTTACACCTTCCTGCTAGAGAATGTCAACAACAAACAGCACCACTGCACAGCTCTGCAGCCATGCATGCATTCTTCTCCGGTTTAGTCCAGTCCGGTCCAACCCATCCGAAGGCCACTGCACGCCAAGGAATCCTGCTCGAAATCCAACAAACTACCCTGGACCTGTAGAAGATCAAAGGGCCCCAGATGATAAAATTCCGCAGTCGCAACTCGTTCTCAAGCCACAAGCACGTTCGATTCTTGGGGCCCCCTCGCGAGCCTGTCTTCTTGTGGTGAACTCTAGCACCAAACAAATCTACAACAGAACGACAACGACGGCCGCAGCGTTGGCCTCCGCCTCTTTTGTTCTCTTTTCCTTGCCTTTCCCCTTTCCTCCAAAGCCCCAACTCCAACCCCAAACCAGCAGGAGCGACTCGCCCATTAACAAAGCCCTCAAACCCCCCACACCCTCAGATTCCGGCTAAAACCCTACAGGAGAGAAACGGGACCTTACAATGGGCGGCAAAGAATCACCTACAACTGCAGCAGAACCAACCCTACCTCACCCGCTTCTGCTGCTGCTGATGCCGATGGGCCGGATGGTGGGACCACGCCACTCGAGCAGGCAAGAGCTCGACGAGCAGTTTGACTGGGACCGTACTCCGCAGAGCTCTCAGATACCGCGATCCGATGCTCCAGATCTTGCCATGCTTGCCCACCAATGTCAACCCTACGGACCAGGGCTGGCAGCAGCAACAGCAACAGCATCAGCAGTGCGGCCGACTCTGGGCCGAGGGACAAGGTGGGCGGGGCTAGGGACCAGAACAGATCTGTCATCTAGTTTTGAACTCGGCCATAATCATATTCAGAGGTTTGAATTCAGAGGCTGGCGTGACATTCAACGGAGTGGCCAATGGGAGCACTCATCGCCGGCCCTGCGCTCTGACCTCCTCTCTTTCTCTCATTCATTGGCATTAGTGGCCACACCCCCATCGTCTCCGGGGATAGATTGCTCTGATCGCCCCGCTCCGATGACGGATCGGGCCTTGTCTTCTTTCGCAAGAAAGTTTTCGCTTTGAGGTTCGGTGGTGGGGATAAGCTGCAGACCAGAGCCATCCACATGCATCAGCTCGAAGGTAGCTAGACCTCCCAATTTCGAACTCCCCGTTTTCCCGTTGGTGCCCGGCCTCTGGGTCTATGTGCACAATCTCCATGTTCACCAGTTCATTATTTGCTCCATTTACTCCCTCTCACGCCATCTCGCGGTCCATGTCATGCCTTCGCGTTTGTAGTTTTCTCGATTTAGGGCACGCGAGAGGATTGAGTCATTGGCTGCAGCTCGGGATTGGAGTAGGCTCAGAAGATGGGCTTTCACCTTTTTCGGCTCTCGATTTCCACCCTTTTTGGGCCATCTGGCTTGAAGGGATGGCCGCCCCATGCACTTCGAGTGGCATTCGAAGACGAGTGCGGGCTAAAATAAGCAAAATTTTGCGCTGTGATTTATTAGTCGTCCAAGAATGTCGTAACAAGTGTTTGCAAAGTCTGGGCTCCATTGTCAGGGGCGGTTCGAAATTATCGTCTGCCAAGTGTTCCCACCAGGTACACATCAAGCACGATGATTCCTCTGAATCTGTCGAGGATTTGACTTCAGTCGTCCATACCATGACAAGCGAGGAGGCAGAATATTCTGCCGACGCAGAAAACATATTCACAACCGTCTTCTCGCTTGCCAAACACGGCGAAATATTTAATTTCGATCTGAACAGAGCGCAGAGGGCTTTTGTCCCACTCTCGTCCTGGTGATGTTCACTTTAAAGTACATTGTGCTGAGCGTTTCCGGACCACATTATTCAATGCTAAGATTCAAGTCGCGCCTGACTCACCTCCCAGTCATTCATGTCCCTGTCTTCGTCAACAGTCCACTTCGCCTCGTTCTTTTTAGTCAGATGTCCTTCTTCTTACTTGACGTTGAAGGAAAGTTCATCCTCTTTGATAGAGAGAGCAACATCGATTAGTTTTCACTGATGCGTATCCACTGCTGGATGATATTTTTTACCGGGTAGTTTGGATATCTCTGGTGCAATTGGATTTTTTCCCATTGTGATGCACGTTACCCCTTCGGATTCAAGCCTATAAGACTTGATGGGGTACTCCCATTCTTTGTGCTGTATATATATCTCGGTGTCCCTGTTTTAACGAGTGAATTTACTATTTTTCTTAAATTTGATGTACACCCACATGAAAATACGTCTTCAAATGTTCATCGACTAATGTCCTCCATGCAATACCTATCGTGGCTTCCTCTATTGTCCTCACAAACGGAAAAGAAAAAGGCAATTGATAGAAATAAACTTCGCATTTAGTGATTAGGCTATATCCGTAGGGGGAGAAAGAAAAAGGGCTGAGCAAACCGGTGTAAAGGATTGATATGTACAACTACATGTAGGTTCAAGAGTGCACGGCAGGTTGAACGGTCTGAGGCCCGAGTAGAGTCCAAGTTCAAACGCAGAAAAAAAACACTCTGAATTATGTAACCTGATGATTAACTTTTTCTGCACAAAACACGGGAAAAACATGAACGCAGTATTTCTACAAATTTTTAGATCTTCTAGTAAAATTTGAAATACAATACACCCTATCTGCTTATAGAAATTCATTGATATTTATCTAAATGTGTTTGTCTCACCCATTTAGATTTTTTTATTCTTTAAGTATTTTATCTTAAGGAAGATGAAAAGTATCTTGAATATAAGATATGGACTTATTTTGGTAAAATTAATTCATGTATTGGTCTAGTTCTAAAGCGTAATAATTATTTTTAGTCAGCAGAGTTACTGCTGTACAAGTATATTATTGTAGATGTTTCAAAGGCAGCCCATCATACAAGTGAAAAATTTTATACATTTGTTCATAGTTAGCTAGACTTTTTCATATTTATATTCTAAGATGTCATCTAACATATTTGGATCTCTGGAAATTCCAAATTTTAAGATTGCTCACAACGAATGTAAAAAATCATAATAAGCGTTCAAATTTTTCCTTTGATGCTAGATTTGTGTAGCATAAACAAAAAATTAGTAATCATTTTGTGGAAGAAATTTACAAGTAATTAAGAATTATGTCAGTTTACAAAAAAAATTAGTATTTAGATAAACATATGAGTAGATTTCAATATTTAATACAAATTCGTATTCCTAGCTTGATCATAATCATTGGCAACTACCTATGTCCAAGCTTGCTATTCAAATTGTGTCTATATATTCAATAATGTTGTAATGTAGATTATTAGACGTCACCAAATCTTGATTGGATCCGAAAAACAAAAGGTTGTTCATTGTTACTAGATTTGGTACTTACATCCAAGAACTTTGACTTTGATTTGAAGCTCAATCTGAGGATGCAAAAAATTGAACTAGCCATTCACGACATGATGGAGAATGCGAGTACTTACTTCACAAGAGTATATTGAATTTAGCAATTGTATCTTAATTCACTAGAAATGTTGAGCTCACTTTCACAATGATTAGATTATTTAGATCATTGATCTTGTATGTCTCATACATGCTAAATTTAAGCTTGATAAGCATGTTAAGATTGCTAACGACTAATGTTTCAGTCTCATTGCCTTGAATGTTTTACTCAAACTCATCGTACATAGAGTTAATGTCATCAATACAAGGCTTCTTTTGCGAGGGTATGTGAATCATCTTTCTTGTGATCTAAAAATTCTCAAATTCTTTCTAGTGTCAATTTATCGCATAAGTGTCATTGATTTTGTTTTGATGTTAGTTATTAAAACATCAAACATAGAGGTAATGCGTAAGATGGAGGTCACCTCCATCTTGCGCATATGACAAGATTCGTCCTCATCACAGGATCCAAAAGTGTTGCTACAACATGAAGCACGCCGCGCTCCATCTTTGCTTGCAGTAAGGTTGTTAAAAGACACTAACCATCTTTGATTGAATGTTAATTTTTGTTCTTGTGAACAACATCTTTGTCTTTAATCACATTGTTGTCAACATGTGTTGGATGCTTCAATAATTGAAATTGCCTAAATACAACATTCTGCAGTGTAAACTTCTTGCATTGTTTAAAATCAATAACTAGCTTCTAAAAAATTGTCAACAAGTCAATTGATTGTCTCAAAAGATATTTGGGATTGGTTAACTTTCCGCATTGAATCTTTTTTCTTCAATGTATCCATAGCAATTATATAGTGAGTTGCATCTTGTTGCATTTTTTTATTTGAACATCTTTGAAAACTTTGATTGAAGATTTGATTTTATAAAATATGCGATCAAATTTTTACAAACATCAATGAGAGTGTATAGAGCCATCATGTTGGACTCATCAAGCAGTTGATAAAAGAACCTGATTTTTTTTCATCGACTTGTTTTGTAATTAGGAACATAGATAACACAATTCACAATTTCATGATATATATATCTTAACAAATCAAACACAATTGAAATGTCATCTTCATTCATGTATGTATGTGTGATTTAATCTCAAATACGTCTCACATGAGTATTTCATGATAAATGTATCTGACAAAACAAATTTTTCATCGATATAATATGTCGTGATAGAAATGTAAGCTTTTTTTATATCTTTTGTTTAGAAAAGAAGTATGTTTGTCATAATTTTATCAATATCAATGTGTTTTTCTAAGACGCTTTGCCACTTTAACCCGTCACTTCATTTAGTGAGTTGAAATCGTAATTGGCAATAAATGATTAAAACAATAAATCATCAATAAAGAATAGCTAATTACTTGCAACACCTATGTCTAGAATTGTTTGAACAAGCTTTTTCCAATACTTTCTAACTATCGATTCAAATGGTCAAAGATCAATTGCGCAAAAGTTGTTAGAAGCTAACGTCATTTTTTTTTATCATATGTAGTGAAGATGTTATTTGTTGAAAATACATTCATTGCTCTATTTTTTGGATTTTTCAACCTTGAAGAAACTTATGATTGATTCCTCATGATGCTAAAAACCGTGATTTTTTTGATTGTGTATAATTTCTTGCAGCTGAATCACGATGCGTAAGTGTAGTTCATACCATGTTTTTGCACAATGTCAAATTTTTTTCAAAGAGCACAGTTCAGATCAGCATGATTTTTGAGCATCAGAAAGACAAGATCGACGTAATTTTGCAATGTATTTTTTAGTTACTTCTCAATTACTTCTGCATTTGATGAATTAGAGCTAGATGTCTTCATCTGAATAACACAATTGCACATAAAATTTCAAAAACTAGTGTCTAAACATTCATAAAAATAATGAAAGCATGAAACAATTTAATTTGCGTGCACTCTTTTTTCACTCCATGAGTTCAACACCAATTACACGTGTCATGTTAATACATTGTAAATAGTTTGATA